TTCTCATATGTAATATAATATTACTTTTTAAGGGTTATTGAAAATGTAAGTAAAGTTGCGCTTGGCGCAGAGCAAACACTAGATGTTAGGGAACGTCACTCTTGAGATGGGAACCACTAAACTGTAGGGTGTGGGAATAACAAAGAACCAGAGAATCTGAGTTAGAAGGGGCCTTTAAGGTTATACACAGCATATCGCGTGCGCACGCGCGCATGTGTGTATCCTCATTTTTTGACAGCTCTATTCCATTCTAATCCAAAGTCTACCTCTTTAAGGAAGAAGAATCTATTTTCTTTTCTGCAAAACAGCTTTTCTAATAATCAAAGGCAGCTAAAAGGCCTGCCAATACTTTCCTTTCTTCAGGCTAACAGCTGTTATAAAATGCAATGTTTAGACTCCAAAGGTTCAATATCTTCCTCTGTACTCTCCACACCCCAGCACTGGGAAGAAAAGAAAAACATAAAAGGTTCTATTTCTATAGGATTAACTCAACAACTACCTAGAAACAAACCTCTATGGTAGAGGTAAAATATATATATATATAGAATGCCACTGGGCATAAAAGCAACTAACCAGGTCCAGTGTGTGGATGGGTACGAATGTATACTGGTGGTTGTTCACAGAAGGCTTTAGGAAGAAATAACCTTTGAACTGACTTTTGAAAAACCAAGTCGATTTTAGCTGAGTGAATAAGACAGACTATCTTCTCAAATGTTTCCTTTCAAAGAGCTCCTCCTCTTCCAAAACTTTATATGAGAAAACAAACACAATGCATATATGCACAAAAGCAATGTACAAAATTTGCAAAAACACTTTTCATATGGCCAATTATATCAATTTTACACTGCTGTGTTAATTCATAGTTATAGGAATGCATTTTTTTCTTTATTGATTTTATTTTATTTTTTTCTTTATTGATTTTAGAGAGAAAAGGAGAGGGAGAGAAAGACAGAAACATCGATAAGAGAGAACATCAGTTGGCTGCCTCTTGCATGCCCCCCACTGGGGATCAGGCCCACAACCTGGGCATGTGTCCTGACCGGGAATCAAACAGGCCGACCTCTTGGTGCATGGGTCGACACTCAACCACTGCGCCATACCGGCCAGACTCTTGATTGATTTTAGAGAGAGAGGAAGGGAGAGGGAGAGAGAGATAGAAACATCAATGAGAGAGAACATCCATTGGCCACCTCCTGCACACCCCCACTGGGGATCAGGCCCACAACCTGGGCATGTGCTCTGACCGGGAATCGGACTGGCAACCTCTTGGTGCATGGGTCGACGCTCAACCACTGAACCACACTGGCTGAGCAGGAAAGCATTTTTAATTGAAGTTTTGGAGTAAAAGGAGTATAGGTTAAAAATGTGCTTTTTAGAGTAGACAAATTTGGATTCAAATTTAAGCTCTGCACCTTTCCAGCATTTATTTAATCAATCAATATTTCTTTAATGACTACTCTGTCATAGATATCCTGTTAATTGCTGGGAATACATAGTATCAATATTTTAGAAACATTTTCTCCATCATTCCTTAATATGAAACCCTTTGCTACTCAGCTCCTAACACACTCTAAAAATACTGATATAGCCCTGGCCAGTTTGGCTCAGCAGTCAGAGTGTCTGCCTGCGGTCCAGAGAGACCCGGGTTCGGTTCCCGCTAAGGGCGTGTACCTCAGTTGCAGTTTGTCCCCGGCCCTGGTTGGGTCGTGCGGGTGGCAACCACTCGATGTGTTCCTTTCATGTCGATGTTTCTCTCTCTCTCTCTCCCTCCCACTCTATCTGAACAAAGTACCAAAAAAATGTCCTCGGGTGAGGATTAAAAAAATAAATAATAAAGTAAAATAAAAATACTGATACATTTCAAGAGTGTTTCTCTCCATCACACAACAAGTGCTGGTGAGGGTGTGGAGAAAAGGGGACTCTAGTACACTGCTGGTGGGAATGCAGACTGGTGCAGCCACTATGGAAAACAATATGGTGTTACCTCAAAAAATTAAAAATTGAATTGCCATTTGACCCAGTGATCCCACTTCTAGGAATATACACTAAGAAGCCTGAAACACCAATCAGAAAGAATATATGTACCCCCATGTTCATAGAAGCACTATTTACAATAATTAAGATCTGGAAACAGCCCAAGTGTCCATCAGTAGATGAATGGATTAAAAAGTTGTGGTACATATACACCATGGAGTAGTATGCAGCTGTGAGAAAGAAAGATCTCTTATACTTTGAGATGGCATGAAGGGACCTGGAGAGTATTATCATAAGGGAAATAAGCCAAACAGCAAAAGACAAATATCACGTGATCTCACTTATTTGTGGAATATAATGAACATAAGTCTGAGGAACAGGGCAGACCCAGAGACATGGAAGTAGGGTACAGACTGACAACCCTCAGAAGAGGGGGTGGGAGGAGGATAGTTAAACCATAGAACTTACATACATGTATGCATAACCGATGGACACAGACAACAAAGCTGGGGACAGGGTGGGGGGAATGGGGAGGAGGGTGTCAATGGGGAAAAAAAGGAGAAACATCTGTAACAAAAAAATATATATATATAAATAAATAAATAAATAAATAAATAAATAAATAAAGAGTGTTTCTCTCATAAAGCTTGTAGCTGGAGAAACTGTTCTGTTATAAAAATAAATATCCTGGCACATTCTTCTCCGATAGGACCAGATATCCTGCAGGCAAGGCCAAGACTTTCTTCAAAAAGTACTGGCTATCAGTTATCAAGCATATTATTTCAATTAATCTTCACAATAACCCATATGGTAGATTGTTACAGTATTGGTCTCCAATGAATTATGCCTCCCTCTGACCATGCCCCTTTGCAATGTTTGGCCAGTCCTTCCATAAAGAGGTCAATTCATTTCCCCTACTCTTGAATCTGGGCTGGTCTTGTGAATTACTTTGACCAATACTTGAGAACTGATGTTGTGAGACTTCCAAGGCTAGCCTTAAGAGGTCTTACAGCTTCCATTCTCACCCTCCTGGTCCTATAAGGAAGCCTCAGTTAAACTATTGAATGAGAGACCATGTGGAAGAAAGAGAGAGACCCAGCCAACAGCCAGAGATGTATGGCTGTCCATTTTAGCCCACCATCCCCAGCTGAGCTGCCAGCTTACTGCACTAGTATGAGTGAGGCCAGAAAGACCAGCAAAATAGCCCAGTTAACCCAGAGAATCCTGAAAAATAATAGTTGTTTTATACCACTAAGCTTTTGGTTTGTTACACAGCAATAAATAACTGAAGCACACAATAATACAGTACTACTGTTTATCTGCAATTCAGAGCTAAGGAAGTAAATGCTTAACTTAAGTTTCAGATATCTGCAAATACATAAAAACTACCTATTCTGATAACTAATGCACTTACTTTCTTCAACAAAACATAAAGAAAAGCAAGCACAAGGGGAATATAAGCTAGTTTTACTTTCATCCAAACCTATGAAAAAAATTCATGCAAAAAGCCATGAAGACATAATCACTTATTTCCAACCCATAGAGTACCTCAGTATGTAATTAATAACTGTTTCATAAGAATAGTAATAAAGATAATCTTATAGCACTTACTTTTTTTATAATGATTTTTAATTTTTATTTATTTATATATTTTTAGAGAGAGAGGAAGGGAGAGAGAGATAGAAACATCGATGAGAAAGAACATCCATTGGCTGCCTCCTGCATGCCCCCCACTGGGAATCAGGTCCACAACCTGGGCATGTGCCCTAACCCTGAATCTAATGGGGACCTCTTGGTGCATGGGTCCACGCTCAACCATTGAGCCACACCAGCCGGGCTTATGGCACTTCCTAAGAGTCGGGTACTATGTGATGTAAGTGTGATATAAATGTGTGTACACACACATTCTCATTTTGTCCCAGTCAAGAATAAGTCCTCTAATTATTGCCATTTTCCTGAGGGGGAAATGGCCGAAGGAGTAAAACCCAAGATACACAGCAAAACTTCTCACTGATCAAAGTAGATTACATTTATCACCAAAGAAAAGGCAGCACAGCCTATATAAAACACATTGTTTCAATGTCCAGGTAAGAGCGGATTTATCCCATTAATATAGATCAAAGTGATCTCAGATGTCAGAATGTAAATATTGGGTTCAATTTGAGAAGCATACTGTAAACAGAATGCATGTTCATTATAAAAGAACAGCGCTGTGAAATTTAAGAGAAAAGACAATATTTATATCTACCTATTAACACTGTTGACAGGCACATGTCACAATTTTCACTTAAAGTGCACCTAAGCCTTCTACGTTAATTGCAACAAAATTGCCAAACAATCCAGATTTATGAAAACAGCACTACTCTACACATCCTGACTCATTATGAGGACATCATCATCGTTTCTCGACCTTTTGGCTAAGATCAAGCACAGGTGTGAGCACATCCGTCCACGTGCTTTTCTTCAGAGTTGGTGGCGGGGAGAGTACCCAAAACACAAGGACCCACAGAAAGAACATGGTCCAAGTGGTTCTGGACAACATGATAGCGGCCATACCTCCTCGACTCCCAATAGCCTCAAGAAACAATCTTCCTGAAAAACTCTGCATCGGGGTCCCAAAATATAAATTTCCCTCAATTAAAAAAAATTTTAAGTCCAAAGAGAAGCCAGAATTCGGTGTGAGAGGCCAGCCAGTAATGGGGAAAGGCACCAGGAAAGGCTGAGAAGGCCGTGGGAGCAGTCGTCCCACAGACCGCTCTTCCAGAATCTTAAGAGACCAGGGAGGATGCTATCGAGGACTGAACAAGTTGACAGTCACCCCAGGTCGATAGCCTCAAGGGCTCTCTGCACAACGTCCTCTTCAGCTTTCCGTGGCTTGCAACATTTGCCTCCACAACCGACCTCAGGCCCGCCCCCTTGATCCGCAGGCCGGCTACTAGCCTCACATCCGAAAGCCGCCGTCAACCAAGGAGAACAAGTCTGTGGCTTTCCTCCCCTCCCCTCCCATGGCCCTCGGAAATACTCACTTGCCCGCCAGATCTTTATGAGAGCCGCTCGAATTCATGAGCTGGGCCAAATCTTGTCGCACGGCTGCCGCCATCTTTCTTCCAGCTCAGCTGAGGCTGCGGGGCCTCACAACCAAAAAGAAAACGAGTGTAGTCCTCCAGAGCGCAGCCAGAGGGAACCCGAGATGCCACAGAGTCGTATCTGTGTGGGCCAGAGCGCCGAGGGTGTGAGGCTGCGCTAGGTCCGCCCCCAGGATTGAGTGACGCAAAGCTCCACTCTTCAAGGCCGAGGCCCGCCCAGACCTCTCCCACAGGCTCAAACTCGCACGCTCCCACTTTGGATTGGTGGATGAACTCTCGAAGGGTGGGTTGTGCAACTCCAGTAAGTTCCGGATACGCAAAAAAAAAACGCGTATTCATTAAGTTCCGTGTCTCATGTCTCTGGTTTACCGTTCTTCGTTCAAGACGGCTCTTAAACTACCTGTGGTAAAGAATGAGTTATTTTGATCGCCAGTTCACCACACACAGGTACTTTTGTAAAACACAGTTTAAAATGTCCACACTCCCCCTCGTACTCTGTACACTTTTTATGAGTTGATCATACATCCCAGTTTGTCCAGGACAGTGCCATTTTCCATCTGTTGTCCTGGAGTAATTATTGACAACAAGCCCTTTCACTAGAAACTGTACCATTTGGAAGAAGAATTACACAGTCATCTTACCTTTATATGTAATTGTATTCATTACTTACGTATCCTGACAGAATTTCTTTCTAAAATAAATTAATGTAAATTTTTATCCTTGCTTTCGCAAAAGATAACAGCATATTATTCTGCTCTTGATTTTTTCACTTTTTCTGGATATCTTACCATGTAAGTCCAGAGAGCTCCCTCATTCTATTTTAGAGCTGGAGAGTATTACATAAAATGAGGGGATGCCATAGTTTATTTAATCCTTAGACACTTAAGTTGTTTTTAATCAACCAATGCTGCAATGAATAACCTTGTACGTACATCATCTGATATGTATATAGGTAGAATACATTCCAAGAAAGAAGTCAAAGGGGGAGATTTACTTATAATTTTTATAGATATTGCCAAATTACACTTTATAGGGGTGGTATGATTTTGCCTTTCTACCAGAAATATGTAGGAGTGCAGTTTTCTACAGCCTTGCCAACAAAGGATGTCAAACTTTTGAATTTCTTTTTCCATCTTGATATATGAAAACTAGCATATTCCCTCTAATGGGAACAGTGTTGGGGGGTGGGGGTGGCAGAAGAAGATGAGAATAAGGAAATACTTTGAAAAAGTGATGTGGAAATTGCCCACATCAAATAAAATCTCACTCCATTGGCAAGAACTTTGTCAAACGACCATGCTTACTTAGCAACGGTGAGACTGGAAATTTTGTTTCCAATTGGGCAAGTTTTTGCCCAGAAAAAAAGGAAAGGATGGTTTTAGAGGGATCATCAGCAGTCTTTACTAGTCTGTACCTCTCCTGCCTAAGTATCGCACTCCTCTTCCCCCTCCCCTCCCCTCCCCTCCCCTCCCCTCCCCTCCCCTCCCCTCCCCTCCCCTCCCCTCCCCTCCCCTCCCCTCCCCTCCCCTCCCCTCCCCTCCCCTCCCCTCCCCTCCCCTCCCCTCCCCTCCCCTCCCCTCCCCCTCCCCCTCCCCCTCCCCCTCCTCCCTGCAGAATACTCTCACCCCTAAGGAAGAGAGTTCATTTGTGCTTTGTTTTTTTATTTGAGAGAGAGAAAACATCGATTTGTTGTTCCACATACATATGCATTCATTGGTTGATTCTTGTATGTGCCCTGACCAGGGATGGAACCCACAACCTGGATTATTGGAATAATACTCCAACCTGAGTTACCTGGCTGGAGCTCCCATTTAGTTTCTATGTCAGCTCAAAATGCAGGATGTCTGATAATACACAATCTTCTCCATCAGGTCAGGCCGTGGATTTTCATGGTGAAGAGACATTTAAACTATAAATTTTATAGTATAAAACAAATGATCTACCTCATGCCCATGGATGTAATACAAAACAATAGTAGAGTAGGGACAGGATAACTACAGTTAAAACTCTGAAAAAGACTGGGAAACACAGCAATTACTTGTCAGTAGAAATGGTGGAATCCTGGGTAGGAATCATGAACACCCACTATCCTGGTTGTGAAGAAAGTTCCTTGGTTAAACCCTAGTTCTGCTCTTTCAGAGGACCTCCATTGTCTATTCTATTCTGTGGGCCCACCTTTGTCCTCTGAATACAGATTAACTGGATGATGGAGAGTATCCACTCTTTGGGGAAATGATTTAGGGCTTGAACAATTGGAGGTTTTTGTTGGCCAGGTTTTTCAGCGTCTTTATTTTTATTTTTTAATATAATTTCGGCCCTGGCCAGCTAGTTCAGTTGATTAGAGCATTGTCCCCACACGCCAAGGTTTAGGGTTTGATCCTCAGTCAGGGCATATACAAGAATCAACCATTGAATGCATAAATGAGTAGAATAACATATCTCTCTCTCTCTCTCTCTCTCTCTCTCTCTCTCTCAAATCATTAATAAATAAATGAATTAAAATTTAATTTTATTGAATATTCAGTAAACTTTCTTTGCTTGCAGACAGTTTTAGGTGCCAGTAACTACACCCAAAATTGTTTCTAGAAGTAGTTGTTAAACCTGTTCTATTTCCTACTTCCACCCTAAACTTATTCTTTTTTGTGTTTTGTTGTTATTTTTTTGTGTAGGTTTTAACCCATTCTTAACATCTTTTTAATGATGGCAGCCTTGAAATAATCTGAAACAATAGGCTTAAGTGAAAAGAGAACTCTATTAATTTATAGATTTTGCTTCACCTTATCTTTGTTTTCTGGTGTGTGTGTGTGTGTGTGTGTGTGTGTGTGTGTGAAAAGTCTTAATGGGCTATAAGAAATCTCTAAGCCAAGTTTTCTCATCTGCTATTTAGGAGTACATAAGCAGTTAGCTTTTTCAACTTAGTGAAACCTCAGAATTTCTGCCCATTCTGTCTCCTTATTACCGTGACATCAAACTCTACTTATTACCTGGCTGGTGTGGCTCAGTGGTTGAATGTTGGCCCATGCACCAAGAGGTCGCCAGTTCGAATTCTAGTCAGGGCATATGCCCAGGCTGTGGACCAAATCCACAGTGGGGGACATGCAGAAGGCGGCCAATCAGTGTTGTTCTCTCTCATTGACATTTCTATCTCTCTCTCTCCTTTCCTTTCTAAAACCAATAAAAAATTTTTTGCAAACTTTACTTGTAATACCTCGCTGAAACCAAAAGGAAGCAGCCACAGATACAAATTGGCTCTTTCCAGATACCTCCACTAGAGCTATAAGCTAGGGAGGGACGTTTTCTGCCTTCCTAGTTATTGTAGGCAGTAATTTTACTAATATATAACAAGGCCTCCCCTTTCTGGACTGCACATCGTCCCTGCCCAAACTCTAAGAGGATGCTACATATTATTAGGTTTTGCTTATAGTAGTGATGAAAAACAAACCTGCATGGCACTGGAAGCGTATTCTTACCATCATACAGTTGCTTAGCAAGAAGTTAGATAAGCACATCTGATTAACTCAAGGGAAGTGCACAAATCCTACCTCTTTTTCATTATGTGAAAGCTTGGATCCCAGACCTACTGAATCAAAATTGTTAACAAAATCCTTCTAGTAATTCTTTTACATTAAAGTTTGAGTAGGCCTGTTGTAGAAGATATCAACGATACTCGTATAGGAGCTCTTCTCACTAAACTCTTGTCAAATAAGGCCATTTCCCTGGCCAGTACACTCATTTTTACATATTCAACTAGGTAGTCTCTACACCCTCAAACTCCCTACAAATATGCAAAAGTGTTAATCCTGGGGTCCTTTTCCTGGTGCATCTTCCATTCTGTGTCCCATGTTCCCAGCCAAGTATGCCTTGTTCTCTAGCAAGTATGCCTTGCTAGAGAAGGAAAAAAGAGCATAGATGCCCTGTTCTGTATGGCTCAGTTGGTTGGGCGGCATCTGGTGCACTAAAAGTTTGTGGGTTGGATTCCCGGTCAAAGTACATGCCTGGGTTGAAGGCTCAATTCCCCGTAGGAAGTATGCAGGAGGCAGCCAATCCATGTTTTGCTTTCATATGGACGTTTCTTTCTCCCTCTCCCACTCCCTTCCTCTCTCTCTCAAAAAAAAAAAAAAAAAAAAATCAGTAAAGAATCATAGATATAGATATATAGAGATATAAAAGAAAAAGAAAAAAGGAACATAGATGATTGTATGTATTCTGCTACATTCTGAGCATTAAGCCTTACTGTACATTTATTCCACATGTTACTAGTGCTTTGTGACAAAATTGTTCTAGAGTGATCTTGTGTATTTCCTGGCCTAAGCCCAAAATCAGCCACCTTCCAAAAAGTCCTTGTTCCTTGCAGATAACAAGTTGAGTGCAAGGGATTCTCATCGCCGCTGTATTGTTCATTTGGGGAGCTCTTCATAGAACAGAACTAGGAAATATCAACATATTTGAAGAATAAAATAACTCATGAGTTCATACTAATACTTTCAAATCCAATTTAGCTGATTTTACTTAACCTCTTCTATATTACCTCTGTAGCTCCTTCCACATCCAGAATCCTGGTTCACAGGTACATAGGAGATTATAGAATCCATATATTCCATAATTATTCATTTCATTCATCCCCTTTATACACCCAATACCCTCAGTATAACAATACTAATACTACTACCTCCAGTATGATTGCTGGAAAGAGTTCAGTATTTTCCTGCTATTCCTCTCCCCATTTCCTCTCATTTTAAAATTGTGCTATTTCTATATTATGAGCACATATAGCCATTACAAACAATACTTTCTTCTTTTTAATCCTCATTTAATCTTAGTTTTATAAGTATTACATATTTAATGTTCATTATCAGCTCTTATATTGCTCTCTCTCTCTAGCCATCTTGGTTGTCTGAAGCTCCTTCCTTCCTTCCTTCCTTCCTTCCTTCCTTCCTTCCTTCCTTCCTTCCTTCCTTCCTTCCTTCCTGATTTTAGAGAGAGAGGAAGTGAGAGAGAGAGAGAGAGAGAGAGAGAGAGAAACATCAATGAGAGAAAACATTGATTGGTCGCCTCCTGCATGCCCCACACTGAGGATTAGGCCCACAACCTGGGCCTGTGTCCCGACCGGGAATTGAACCGGTAACCTCTTGGTGCATGGGTCGACGCTCAACCACTGAGCCACACCAGCCGGACTGAAGCTAGTTATTTAATAGGTTTCTCTGGAAGGACTTATGGAAACCATATTTTCGCCTATTCTTGTATGTTGGTGACATCTTGTGGTTTTATGTTTAAAAATCAGTTTTGTTAGATACAATAAACCTTGATTCACTTTTCTTGAGAATCTTAAGTATGGTATTCCATTTTCTCGTGGCATAAAATTACTAAAAAATCTCATGAGAATCTAATTTTCTTTCCCTGATAAATTACCTACACTTTTTTTTTTTTTTTAACCTAGATGTCCCCCTACTTTTTGCCCTTTAACATTCAGTAATTTTACTAGACTATGTGTTGGTGTTGGTCATTCTCAGTCAATATTCTCAGGTAGATCATGTGCTCTTTCAATATGTAGTTTCAATTTTTTTCAACAATTATATTCTTGGACTTGTTCTATTC